CCGACATCACATAGGGTTAGGGTTAATATTTTATTAGCTGTAGGTATATATTTTTAGCAATTTGTCACCCTTGTGATGTTGGGTAAGTGGCCTTTTGGGTAAATAACTTTCAGGGAATCATACCGTAACCCTTATCGAATCGGCCTAAAATCATTCGGTCAATTTTTTACCAGATGTCCCAAAATTTATAAGAATAGCTATAATTAGATAATATAATATCGGGTGACTCTAACCCAGGTGAAAATAGAATTTCCCTTTGATCAATTTTATTCGAATTTGTATTTATGATAAAATAGAATTATTGCGCTACTTATAATAAAAAATCATTATCATTTGTCTAATCATATTGATATTAGTGTTAGCTATAAATAAGATTTATTACACTAAGATAGAATGCTGCATGCAAGATTGCATAAATTATAATATGCTAATATATATCCAAACTTTGATATACAACTCTAAAAAATCACAATTTCCATAAAAACTTTCCAGAATCCCAATTTGCTATGTACCAACCAAATTTGTGCTACCATACATATATAATTTTTCAAAAAGCAAATTTTAATAATTTTAATAACGATAATATATTCTAAACACAAAAAAATATAGCTAATAAAAATATATTGATATATCTAATGAATTACAAATTATTTTCTTCATTTATCATTTGCTGTGCTAACTGAATTGGATCATATTCTCTACATTCTAAATTATAAGCCCTTTCGTGAGAAGATAATCTATTAATAGCGATTCAAATAAAGTAATATTAGTTGATAAAAATTCGGGTAAAGTTAAATCAACGATTTTACTGAGATTTAAATTATTAGTCAACATTTGTTGCGAATCATTATTATTATCATCTTCAATTTTTGAATCTTCAGTTTGCTGCATAATTACAGAGTTATTTAAATTTTCTCTTAAGTCTTTATCATTTACATCTTTACTATAAACCCTCAATTCTTTATTCATATTTGAAATATAAAAAGATCTAATCTTTGCTATAGATTCAATTCGTAATAAACTCAATTGTGTACGCTTATCTCTGAAAAGCCATTTTAGTATAGAGAAATTTCTTTCGCAGACCACCTGGGATAGAACAATTGAAAATAGAAATAAAGCAAGTTCTTGTAATTGATCATTTTCTATATCTACATTCACGCTCATCCACCATTTCAGTGGCGTTTCTTTAGATTGATTATAACTAAGATCATACTGAGGTTCTTTATGCTTCTATGATCTCATTTCTGATAAAAGACTTAAACATGATACTTCTGTATACTTAAAATTATACCAAATGAGTGACGCAGTTTTATATATTTTATTTAATTCATTTTGTTGTAATCCACAACCTATAAATAAAATTTTTGAATAAATTAAAAATTAAATATTAAAAAAATATTTATTATAGAATAGAATAAAATCTAAGTTATAAGCTAATATATGTAATCTTCACTATGTAGATTTGAATTTTACTTAGATTTTATTCTGTTGTATAACTTATGTTGCATCAAATTGAAATTTGTATTAAATCAAAATTTTAATAAAGTTTCATTAGGGTAAGGGTAGGTATTACATAGCAATATTACATATAATTATTTTGATTTAACATATATTTTAAATTGATGTACAATATATGTATATATATTATTATTACCATGATATAACGGATGAAGCCAATAGGCTAATATATAGAAATCATTAATAAATTCTTCAGAACGGCGATTAAAATTGTTGATATTGGTGTTTTCCACTGATTTTCTGACTTTAATCTATTAATACTAGTCACAAGTCTTGTTAAACTAATAAAACATTCTGCTAAATTTGCATTGCGGGCTTCAAGAATATTAGTTAATTCTTTTACTAGTTTAAGAATAGATACTATTTGACAATACTTTGAATAAAACTCTTCATTTTGAAGTAAATCAAACACAGCCTTATTTAAAATAATTTCAGTATGATTTTCTAAAAGCTATAAAAAAATTTAATAAAAATTTAATATTAGTTTTTATTTATAAACTTTATTTTTTAAATTGAATAGTGCCCGTGGGTAACTGTATAAAGAACCGGAGAAAGTGGGTACTATATTTGAGGATATATCATATGAATAGTAATAAATTCGTATAGTTATACTTCAGGTATTAAGCTAGAAGGGTGATGCGTAATACTGGGGTTTAGTTAAGAGGGTATTATTTTTGAAGAATACTGCATGTAGTGGCAAATAGTAATATAAATAATCAACCCGAACTTAAGGACTGCTTTAACAAACTTAAATTTACCAGATTGTTTCCTTATAGTAAAAAATAATAAATATTATTTACTTACCTAGTCAAATACAGGTTTTGATCGAATTATAGAATCTGTTGTAGTATACAAAAAACCCTATTGAGTTTAGTATATGATTGAATTTCACCACTTTTTATTTTTATAGCCACTATTTGTTCTTTATAATAACTATTTGCAATATGCGATCTATTAAAAAATTCTAAAATACTATTGCAATTAGCTATAACTATTTTAACAGAATCGATTTTTGCTAAATCTGAAGCGATTAAGTTAATTGCATGTAATATGTATCTAAAATTTAAAATAGATGGATGTTTGTTATGTATAAGTTGACGTGCAACTCTTAAATCAGATCTGTGGTCTGTTACAATTGCTGTGAATTTTTTAAGTCCAATATTTTGTAATACTTTTCTAATTTCAGTTGCCATAAATTGTCCAGTCTGACTCTCATTATATGATCTAAGCTTTATCAAATATTCTTTTCGCTTTTGTGTTGTAACAACATAATTATAGATCGAATCTTCTCTTGGAGATATCCACCCGTCCACGCCTAAATAAATTAATTATAATTTAGGTTATATGCCTCTATTAGTATAGTTTATAAATATAAAAAATTTTTTAAGATTTAACACTAATCAATTAATATAAAATTTGATATTTAAATTTAGGCTTAATTTGACAAATATGCTGTAATAATAGTAGTTACAATAAATATAAAATTGTACTTCACCAATAAAATAGATTGCCAGTATTATGGCTTTTGCAAAATGGTATTTTAGAAAAATAGAATTCAGGAAGTTAATCTGTAACTCTTTAATATAGTATGTAGAAATTTTACTATATCGCACTTAGAGATGGAAAAAATGCACATTTTATAATAAAATACATATGAATATGCATTAATGTGCACGAATTGTTTCATGTGCATAATATCACATGATAAAAAAAAGCAAAAACGATTAAAGAAGAGAAATTTTGATAGGATAAAATGCGCATGAAATGGTATTATGCGCATGAATATGTATTAATGCGTATGATTCCTCAATCATACGCACGCATGAAACCTATCTCTAATTACACTGCATACAGTACCCAGGGTCTTATTCAAGATCTCTATTTTTTAAATTGAATAGTACCCGCGAATACTGTATGAAGAACCAGATACTATATGTAGGGGATATATCATATGAAAATAATAAATTAAATATAGTTATACTTCAGATATTATTCAAGATGGGCGGTGAATAATACCCAAATCTTAATCAAGAGAATACTATTTTTTTTGGAAATATTTTATGCAGTATGATATGAAATATAGCACTATTTAGGTATTGTTTTTAAAATTAAAACTTACTAAGCGTAAGATTTTTCTTTTTTTCCAATTCATTTTCAATTTTTTTTTCAATCCTAGCAGTTTCTTGATTTAAAAGTCTGCCAGAAAAAGTAGTGCGTGATAGTAAAGTATATTCCGGAATAGTGAGTTTAAAAAAGATCAATAATAAATAGATTTTCTATTGTACAAAAAGGAAATCCACAACACACCCACGCTTTAAGAATTGCTTGATCAAGTTCATTAGCCTTAGTATCAGAAATAGGTGTAATCTGTTGATAATGTGTAGTAATATTTGATTGCTTTGAACTTTTTGCTCAAGCTATTGGTTGTGAAGTTTCTTCTACTAAAGAGTCTTGCCATTTGATTTTTATGTTTTCGGGTGCATTATCACAGTTTCTAGCTAAATGAACTTTTATTTCATGTGGATGCTCTCTTAACCAACTTGTAGCATACCATTTACACTTTGCGTTATAAAATCTCCACTCTAAATTATCACCTTTAATAACATCATTCCATACTTTATCATCTTTTTTCCCCTAGCATGTTTTCTTTTTTTTTCATATGTTGACGATAATTCTACTTGATCAGAATATTCTTCTTCGGAAGCACTCGAAATATCTTGTAAAGCTGTAACTTCACTA